TGGACAAGCGTGCGACAGTTTGGCGGCCGGTCCATCTCGGGGGGGAAGGGGGTGGGGGGGGGAAGGGGGGGTTTGTGGGAGGCCAATGGCGCTGGGGCAGAGCCGGACCGCTGGCGGGCTACAGTACTTGTAGCTGGCGCAGGGGTGACGGGATGTCGGCAAGTACTGTAGCAAGGAGGTGGACCTGGCGTTGCTGGGCCAAGACGTGCCCGGGAGGCTTCAAGCTGCCTATGGTAGGATAGCCTGCGCAGGGAGGACGCGACAGGCACGGAAAGTGCTGTAGGACTTGCTCACTGGCATTGGGCTGCTGCGTCAGGGCTGCTGCCGCTAGCTTCCAACGCTTGGCGGCAATCCCGAGCGCCCGCGGCCGGATATCAGCGGGAGCTCTCCCTCACCCGAGGGCCCCCAGGGCCCCCCCCCCCCCCAACCCCCAACCCCCCAACCCCCACCCCAAGAGCAGCTCTGGATTATGGCATGCAATGGGGCCCCTCCGCCGCATCACGCCCCGTCCCAGTGAACTGCCAACAGCAGCTGGGCCCCACGCCAGCGGGCGAGGAGAGAGACTGACCTTTACCTTGCAGCTTCTCTCCTCATTCCTCTCAGCCATTACCTCATCCACCCAGAAGCTCCATTCTACAAACTTCTCACAATGCTGGTGAGTCAGACAATGTCAAACTTCTGCCTGTCTAAACTGGCAGTCTAACACAGATACTCCCCCAAGCTCGAATACTCTGTGGAAAACCCCCTAAACAGAGAGCCCCCGGTGGACCAGCTTGTCGAAAGCTTTATTACAAAGTCCTCAGTTGCATACGACCGGAATCATGGGCAAGTTCCCCCCCTTTCTATCTCCATTCTCTACAAGCCAACCTAATCTGACCCTGGCGTTATGTTCTTAGACCTATCCCGCACATCAATCCAGATACTCATTACGTCAGGATCGACGGTGCCGTAGACAATGTGGTTGAGCTATCAATTAAAGATCTCGGGGAAAGCTTCAAGCAATATGAAGTTTTGTCATCTTTACAGGTAAGGACCCGGGCCACCGCTTTGCTGAATTCGTGGCTCAAGCTTTACGATAGTGTGCTGGAAATCGACGACACACCATGCGGACAGAGCTCAAAGAGGTCAATGGCATTGACTGGTATTCCGGGGCTATCATGAATGGTGTTTGGAGGGGCCCATTACTCCGAGATATTCTTCTCCAGGCTGGTCTTGCAATTGAGGGCTCAGCGCATGTTGCATTTTCCTGCACTCAAACTCTTGTGCAAGACGACTGGTACTATGGCGGGAGCATCGACCTAGAGCGTGTAATGGACCCAGAGAAATTCGTGATCTTGGCACTTGAGGTACTACTCAACTTAGAAATCACGCCCAGTTCATGTTTATTTTACCCATTGCTAACTGTGAAAAGCTAAACGGAAAACCCCTCTCCATAAATCGTGGTTTCCCAGTGCGCGTTGTCATACCCGGGGTAGCTGGGGCTCGTTGGGTGAAATGGTTGGACAGGGTCACCGTTCAGCGGAATGAATCCAACAACTTTTACATGCAACAGGACTACAAAATCCTACCACCACACGTGGAGACGAAGGAGCAAGCGATGGAGAATTGGCATCTAGTGCCCCCAATGCAACTTATGCCCATAAACTCTGTTATCGCTATTCCCGCGTCTGGAGAAACAATTATACCTGATGCCGATGGGAAGATCACAGTCGCAGGCTACGCAGTCCCACAAGGAGACGACGGGCCCGTTATAAAGGTCGAGATAAGCCTAGATAGGGGAGAAACATGGGAAGAGGCAGAGATTGTCCTAGAACAACCGACAAAGTGGAGTTGGGCAATCTGGAAAACAAGAATTGACTTTTGCAGATTACTGCCCGAGAAAGGGTCGACAGAGAGCAGCCGGAGAATATGGTCCCGATGCTGGGACAAAGGTGGAAATGTGCAAGACGGCAAGTGCCAGTGGAACTGGAGAGGAGTAGGATATAATGGCTATGGAGAGTCAAAGCACATGGTAATCCAGCCAGCAGAGAAAACCAATGAGTTGGTGAAGGGTATACAAAGCATTTCCTTGAGTGCAGCGGCCTAGGACATACATATCGTAGTCCGCCTTACATATATATAAGGTAGATTTCATGACTCCTGCCCACATTTGCATTTTTGATGTATTTGCTCCTTTGTTGTTCATTTCTCCACAAAGCTGTCTTGACTTCTAGTAGAAAGATTTCCTGTTAAGTTTGGGTTTTCTTGAAGGCCATAGAACTCAGGGGTGTTTAACACGGTTATGATCAAATGAAACCTATGAAAATAAAGTGCATAATGATAATATTACATTCAAAATATGTAGATCCTTTCTCTCAACTCTGTGTGGGCCCACGTGTAACTCTGTCCTCTAACTGTGATCCGAAAAGACAATACCCTAGTATTATACATAAATACATGGAAACCCAAAACCTGAATGATAAACCTGATAGAATGCATGAAAACGCTTTCTACAAACAGTTAAACTGGCGAAGATGAGATGTAACCTGTACCCATTATGACATTCAGTTCTCATGAACTCATATTCTTTTGCTCTCTACTCCATCACCTTCCAACCAGCTCAATTACCTTCACTCCATATGATTCATATAATAATCAATCGCCGCCGAAAACGCAGCAAACCCCGCACAGCCCACTGCCGCAGCTTTGGGGCCGGCACCGGCGGCGAGTACCCCCCCGTAAGACACCCCGCGCTAACCCCATTCCACAGATCATGCTTAGCCCTCAAACTTTCAATACAGCACTCGGTACCCGCGAAAATGGTGCCCACGACTGCAAAGTTCTTTGCGGAGGAATACGACCGCGTGCCCATATCCTTGAGGCCGATGCGGAGCTGCTGGCGCATGGGGAGGGAGGTGAGCGGTGTCGGGGTCTTGTTGGGGCCGTACGGGACCATGGTCGAGAGAGGCGTGTCATAAGACATGCTGGCCATGAAGAGGCCGAAGACGCCGCCGAGCGCGAATCCGGCGCCTCCGGCGAGGACGGTGCGGAAAGGGCAGGATTCCATGGCACGTTCCATCTGTCAAGGAAGGGAAGGGAAGGTTAAATTCTGGGGGTCTCGGTTGCGCCATAATGGGAGAAGGGGTAACGAACAAACTTTGTCATCTGCATCACTTGGATCTGCTCCGGCGTCATTCCTGCCATCGCCGGGTCAGCAGGGCCGCCGGCGCCCGTGTTCGCTGCTCCCGCACCGGCGAACCCGCCGACGCCGAAGCCGCCCATGCCAGGGAATCCAGCCGAGTTGGCACTCACCCCACCCCCTCACCTCCTTCTCCTCCGCTGGAGCCGCTTGGGTTCGTGGCTGGGAAGTTCATATATGTTGTTTTTAATTTTGTTGTTGTAGAGCTTTCGTTTATCGGAGGGTGGGAATTGTTTCTCGATTAGAACCCAGTCGAATAGTTCTTCACTTTTCTTTTTTTTGGGGGGGCGAAACAAATTTTCGAGAACTGCAGTACAGTTCCTTCAGTCCCAACCCCAATCTCTATCACTACCCTTCCTCTCAGGGTGTTCCCCGTCTGTTCCTTCCTTCCTTCCTTCCTTCCTTCCTTCCTTGCTTCCTCCCTTCCTTCAATCTTTTCCTTTCCCTGTGCCCCAATGTATATCGTGAACACCCGTCCGTGCCAGTTTGCGTTCTAATAATGATCTCGACTCGCTCCGTTCCTACGCCTGTACCTGTCAACGTCGGCCTGTGTACACCCCCAAGTCGTGAACCCTCCCAAGAGAATTTCAGACTCCTCAAAGGATAAGTCCCCAAAGCAATACAAATTCTTCAAATTTGCCAAATACCGCTTTTAACGACGATGGATCCCTTGTGCTTTCCCTGTTCGGGTTATGTTTTCTTTGAAAACTTTTCTGGCTGCGTGGGGGGTATCAATTCAATGATTCTGCCCTTGGGAGGGGACGGAGAGTAAACTAGTAGGATGAGGATCTGGGTGGGAAGGTGGGGAGGTGGAAAGGTCGGAGGGTGGGGGAATGTATGTCGGTTGTGAGCAATAGTACATGAATGTTATCTGTATTGCACCTATTTTTTTTTTTTTTTTTTTCTTTTTGTGACCGATAGTGTCAGGGTAATGAGTCGGACTAATGGTAACGGCGCAAAGTATGGGGATCTTCATAAACCTGACTGCTGAGAGCTTGGCAGGTTTGGGCCGACGGATCACGTGATTCGTCATAGTACCTACATAGTATGTACGTCCACAGGGCGGCCTGATATCGCAATCATCGTTTACATCTCATACATTTACTGTAGTCTGGTCATCTACTGGATAACACTGCGAGCTGAAAACCGGAGATGGAATTGCCCCAGCTAGATATAGTCACATGGCAAAAGAAAGTGTACACCTTTGCATAATCTTTGGGCCTGTGCTTGATTAAGACATACACGCGCGTGTCTTTAGATATAAGCGCGCGTATGCCTTACAACATTGTGCTATATTCCGGCTATAAGGGAAGCATTGAAAGATGCCTTAAATGCTGTTTGGAAAGATATTCCTAGTTCACTTCTCAGTGCACTCTACAAGTCTATGCATAAGCGAGTTGCTGCAGTCATTAAGGCTGAACTGGTACACCTAATCCTAGGTCTATTAGCAAGCTGGCTAGCCTCAGTATTTTGTTCCTATCTTTTCTCTTTAGCATTCAGTGTAAGTTTTTCAGAGGCGATACCTTTGGTAGACAAGGTAGCATGTTTGGCAGAAGAGACGAACTTGACGGTCTTTATGAATAGGGTGGATTTCTTTTTTATGTAGATATAGTGATAGATAGGTGGCAGTATATTTCTCAGTAACCTTTGATCTCCTTCAAGAGTCATCTTCATATATTTCTTTGCCCTAATGTTATAATTCAACTCCATTTCGAAGTGGCGTTAGTGGTGGTAATAGGTCTAAGACATCAAATTATGCAAATTTAAGTGTACACTTTCTTTTGCCATGTGATTGTATGTCTTGATTCATTGCTCTAAGTAAGACGTCGTGCCCGAGTGGTTAAGGGGAGTGATTAGAATAACCGGAAGTCCGAATAAAAAATCACTTACGTTCTGCGTGCGCAAGTTCGAGTCTTGTCGACGTCGTTATTTTTTATAACCCTTTGTTTTGAATTGAAAAATAGAGAATTTCTTATCCCACTTTTATTTATCTCATCCATTGCTGCTCAAATTTCTTGTGAGTACTACCGTCAAACGTGTCATGCCGGAGCCGGTGGGTGTTATCCAATACGACGCTTAGACAAAGTTGGAGCGGAGAGGTCAATATTTGTGCTATATACATGCAGTCAGAGGAGCTATAGTAGATACGTATATGAATAATAAACTATATACAGGAACAAGATAAGAGGTAATAGATGTCTACTTGTATTTCAAAGGGTGCTTCAAGCTCAACCACTGTTCAAGGCACTAAGTGCAATTGCGGCTCTGGAACTGAAGTTCCAGAACCTTTTGAACAAAGTGATTGATCATAGACAATGCATTTGCTGGCCTCAAGGTATGAGACTAGTTTATGCTCCTCTGAGTCATCTTAGCCTTGATCAGCTGCTATGCTCTCGCTGATAAATATCCATTAAATGGTCCAATGTCACTTCTTCCATGTTCTCATCTATAGCAGTATTCAGATTAGAAAAACCTGGCCGGATTCTCCGGATTTCAGAATTTTATCAAGTTCGGAAAATACGGTCATCTCCATACAAAAGTCTATCTGGTTTTTTCATGTTATAAACCAGTTAAACCGGTTTATTTTCGCATTTTTTCGCGGTCGGATTTTTGCAACAACTGCATATATATGATGCATATTGCTGGCCACGATGCACTAGCTGGGTTTTTGCATGCATAAATTCCAGTGGATTTTTGGACCCAAAACTGATTTCGGATTTGACATAAAAATCCGATTTCACAGAGGGTAAAGAACGGCCACATGCTGGTTACGAGACTAGGCCACATGAGTACTTAAGCGCACCTCCACTCCTACATACACTTTCTTGTAGTTACCTTACTAAGTAATCGCAACCTTGGCACTTTGATACCATAGTCGTATGTCCATAGGGGTACGTACCGGTATATACCTAGCAAGTAATTGTGATGGACGTTTCGTTTAGTCTGCATACTTTTCGTTTTGTTGTATATCTAGCTGCGTTTGGTTTATGTCTATATCGAAAATTGTATATCCATATCATGGTGAAGGGACGGACTCCATCCAAAAGGCATTGAACAATTAATTATTAAGATAAAAATAAATAAATAATGAAAAGTATTTAAAGGGATGGCGTGTAGTTTAATATGATTATCTTGGTATTTCTGACTCCGTTGTGCAATCCTATGACCTTCTTTTAATCACCGGATTTTGTACTCGCATTTGCATAAAGTTGTCCACAATTTTCATTGCAGTCCTTCGCAGCTACAAGGTAGGTTACTCTTCGAACTCAAGCCCTCTTATGTGTCAATTATATATGTTTTACTGTCGATGAAGGCCATCTTACTGCAAAGCGAAAACATCATCCTCACACAACTTTCATCCCCTAAGAATAGGAACTCGTCTTGTGAAAAGAACAACAGAATATTATACCCATGTACAATTCCAAAGTATAACGACAAACGTGAATGTGCCCTCTGTTCATGTCCGTACCGCCCCACCTGCCCAGTCCCATAGGAAAGGAATCATGCAATCAAACTCCTACTCCGAATTAACGATACAATTGCAAATATGTCTTCACAACAACGACGATAAGCATCCATGTCAGTTTGCTCAAGAGTGCTATCACAAGTTCACAGGCCCCCTTGCTCCAGTTCCCTGCACTCTTTGAAACTGGTTTAATAACCCCAAAACCCCGGCTGCCACTTGCCCTTGACCTGCCTCCCCTTGCTCTTCCGCCTCCTCCCCTCCAACCGTGGCACTAATCCGCGCTGACATAAACGGATCCCCCAAGTTGCTCACATACTGGTTCGGTGTGTGCGCTCTGAATTCAAACTCTTCCTCCTCCATTAGCGAAGCAGCTGGCTGCTGATTAAACATTGCGGGCCGGCGCTGGTATACGCTGGGAGGGGGTTGATGGTGAGGGTCCAGGAGGACGGAGGCAGTAGATGCAGCCATGGTGCCTTGATGGTGGAGGGGGCGGTAGATTGAGTGTTGCATCCCAGTGGCTCGTCCTCGGTTGGTTCCTCTCACATCTTCACCATGAAGAACTGGCGACAGGCCACTTGGGTGCATTGGTGCTCCTCTGCGGCGATTCCCACCTTGATTGTTGGGGCCGTACTGGTCCAAGAAACCCCAGTACGAAGAAAGCATCTTATTCTCCGTCTGGGCATATTGCTCTGTTCGTACATCTCCTGACGGCTGCATTGGGACATGTCAGCATGTCTTTCAGGTGATTAAACAAGGAGCACATTTTCCAATCTCACCTTTATCACCCCATTCCTCTTGAAATCAAACACCGCATAACTACAAACGTATCCAATCCCGTCAACATGGATTGTAAACTCGCGAAAGAAGTCAATGATCTTGTCACTACAGTTATAGAGGGAAAACCACATCACAAATGGGGTGGTCATCACACTCAACAATTCCTCAAAGAAGATCATGATTTTGAGGCCATATAGGTTCATAAAGTCTTGCTTGACCTGCGACATGTACGAGTTAATGACAATGCTTAATTCAGGTGGTGACAGCTAGGACATACCTGATCCGAATGCAACTTCCCTTGCCACTCATTCGGCATATAATGCGTATAGTTGATCACATACTTTATAGCCTCCTCTGGATCATACACCAATTTCTCTTCTGGTATCATCCCTCGTGCTACTGCAATGATAGATGCCAATATACCGATGTAAAAAACAATCGTTCCGCCCGGTGTGATTTCAAAAGTTGTAATCAACTCTGGGTCTATCAAAGTGGCGATAGCCAGAACCGCGGCGAATGCGCCTGCAACGAAATGTACAAACCTAGTTTCAAAGTTCATCAGCGTCGGCCCTGGGTAAGATATAAATCTGCCATACCTTGCCACTTGAATGGTCTTGTCCTTGGGAAACTGATCGACATATCTTTCAGCGAACGGGTAGCTCATGTTTATTCGCTGCTCAAATAAATGCCATAACTCATTGAATTCTCTAAACTTCCACTCAGCCAACGGTGTATACTGACGATGGCCGATTTGGCCTGGATTTTTTGAGAATTCCTTCGGCTACGTCAGCCAATTTTATCACTGCTCGACAACTGTGGACAATAGCTTACCGCATAGTAGCGCAAAAAGAAAAAGATAACTAGATAAGAGAGGATTAAAGGGGCAAACAATAAATTTGCCCAGCCGTAGAAGAGGAACCGTCGCCGCAATCTAGTTTCCATAAATGTAAGATAATCCATATTGTTGGAAGGCTTAATAAGATAATTTTATACCCATCACTCAAGGTTCTTCGCTCAGATTCCTTTAAGAATACAGGCCTCACTTGCCCCCGATTATTAAACACGAAATCCATGATGCAAATCTCAATATTCCAGGTGAGAGCCTTTGTTAGAATGCTACCGCGCTTACGCAAAAACGGTAGCGGAACCGTGAGATCCAAGATATCTTTGTTAAACAAGGCGATAAGATAATTTTCCTTTCTCATCAGTCTATTAGCGATATCATGCGCATCCATTCGCTCCTTAGACTGAGAAGCTCGATGGCGCCTTCGAAGCGCATTAGACGTTGCGGGATTAGCATCTCTCAAACTCATCAATCGTTGCACAATTTCCTGCCAGGATATTGTTTGCATATCGCTCTCGGGTATGTCGAGGAGATAGTAATAAAACTCATGTAATTCCCACAAACGCCTTAGATCTAGTATATGATTTATAAGGGTCCACATCCAGTATAAAGTGAACATCCATAATAGAAAAGAGACAGTTCCGGACAACCTTATCCGTCAGCAACCCACTATATTTATCTTGCAGCGTAAGGATACATACTTCGTGGTGCATTGAGGTATTATGATCTCCGATAGCCTTGTTTTGTGCTTTGCGTGCGAATAATCAATGCAACTACCGAGAAAGGTTGTGAACCCAACCACAAATGCTGATGTTCTGATTCGAGATATCAATGTTTGTCCCTGAGATGTGACTTCCAAACAACTTACAATAAATTCAAAAGTCGAGTGAGCAAAATGCTGTAGATGCCATTCCCAATGTAGTACTGGTATACCTATTGACAATATTTCAGCAACGAAACAGAGTATATTGGTGAGGTTGACCGTACATCGTGCAAGAAGTTATCCAGATTCTCCACGTTTGCCCATCTCCACATTGCCCGTGCCTTCGGGTCGACCAGCCCTATCCTAGCTTGTCTAATTTCCTCTTCGGTTCTCGGTTGTCCCTCCGGCCGTCCAGGCGGTTGTGAATCCGCCCAGTGGGCATGCATACTTGCCCGTGCCTGGGTAGCTGGTCTCGCGTTACTTGGTCCCGGTGTCTGACCTCCCCGAACATTATCGTCACGATACGGCTCTTGTGCAAAGGGGCCTGTACGTTCCACAAGAAGCGATGCAGGAACCTCGTCTGTCTCCGTATCTTGCTCCGGCAGCCGCGGCGATAGATAGTTCAGCCGTGATGTAGCCGAAGTTCGAGACCGCGAAACTGATCCAAGTGCTTGCTGGGTGTAATGTTTATGCGAATATTGCGATGTTGTTAGATCGGCAGGTGGTCGTAGCTCGTAATCATTCGGTCCTTCTAAGTCTTCGTCATAGCGAGCAGCCCGTAGCCCCGCCCTCGCCTCCAAGTCTTCGGGAGTATCCGAGTCCTCGTCATCATCCTGTTGCCGAAGGGTTTCATAGAGGCTTCGTCCCCCCGCAAAGATGGAGCTTTGTCCCAACACTCGCGAGAGCATGGCCTCGCTTTTCCGTCAGGCCTAGCCTTGATGTGTTGGTTCCGATTGTGGGTATGGATCGAGAGCCACTTTGTGATGGCTGCGACTGTGAATTTTCTTGAAGAGCCCTCAGTTCTCCGGCAGCCGTATTACCGCCGAAAATTTCGTGTAGTATCCTGTAACCAGGCTACGTATGCGGCGTGCTCTCTATGCTCTCCAACCGGCGATGGATCCAGTTTCAGAGCCTCA